CCCCCCCCCCCCCAAGCATACCTGCTCTGGGACTCCGAGGTCAGTGGGATCCACTGATTTTGTGGCCCCAGTGTCTGCAACACCCACGCAGAGATCCCACCACCTGCCAGGCAGCCCCGGGAAGGGGGGACCCCAGATGGCAGGAGGGGGTTCCTCAACCTCCCTCTGGTTTCTCAGGGAGAGAATGTCTTCTTTGTAATCACCAACCTGGTCGTGACCCCCAACCAGCGGCAGGAAACCTGTGCCGAGGTGCGTCTTGGTGCAGAGAGCTGGGGAGGGAGTGGGAGAGCTGCCAGCAGTACTTGGGGTCCACCCCTCTCCTGAGGCAGGGGTGTCGACCCCCTCCAAGGGCCCTGGGGGATGTCTGCACCAGCGTGCATACCTGCGTTGCTCAGGGGAGAAGCAGGTTCTCAAGGGGTGAGCCGCCACAGGCAAGGGAGGAACCCCTGGCCTCACCCTGGGGTGGGACCTGGGTCTGAGAAGGGGGTCCCTGCAGGCCCCTCCCCCCCCCCTCCAGCTGGCCTTGGACAAGTACCTGAGGCTCTGGGCCTCCGCTTCCTGGTCTAGGAAGCAAAGACAGTAAGTGAGGAAATGACTCAGGTTGCATTATCGGGGAGAGAGGGCCAAGCAGGTAGGGACTCTAGGTCCTTAAACTCCCCCTTCAAATAGAGCAGCTCTACTATTCACCCACTACAGGTGTTAGGGTGGGACTATATTCACTTTCATTTGAACAAAGATTTCTGCTACTTTAAAAGTACAAACAAACAAACAAAACAGGCTGGAGAATTACAACTCCTGTGGCTGGGTACAGTCCCCCCCCCCCCCCCCCGCCCCCGCCAGACACCCTTTCTCTCCTGGCAGAGTGAAAGCATTCCGGATGCCTTGTGCTATGAGGACAGCGACTGCCCTCCTGGGGAGCCTGTTGTGGCTGGAAATGGTGAGGCCTGGAGTAGACAGGGCTGGGGGCAGAAGGGGAGTTGGAACCAGGAGGTTCCTGGCATTGCCCTTCTCCCACCCCTGCAGGAGTGAGGACTGGCCGCTGCCTGCGGGTGGGGAGCGAGCAAAAGGGCACCTGTGAGATCTTCGCCTGGTGCCCGGTGGAGGCAAAGTCCAGGCCAGCGTGAGTGGCTGTAACCTCAGGCCCCTGAGGAGTTACCCAGTCCTGGGCAGTGGGTCCCAGCTCGATGGTGGAGACGTGTCCTGGGGGAGAAGCCAGGGCACCCCACAAAGGCCCCAGGACCACCCCGACATGATCAAACTGACCTTTGCAAAGGCTCCAGGGCACCCAGGGAGCAGACAGGCTTCAGCCTCCGCACAGGCGTGGAGGGGGCGGGGTAGGGCCACCTTAGCACTGTCCTGCCTTGGTTTTCAGGAAGCCACTCCTGGGTGAAGCTGAAGACTTCACTGTTTACATAAAGAACTTCATTCGTTTCCCCAAATTCAACTTCTCCAAGTACGTGGGCCCGTGTGCATGGTGTGTATGGGATGCTGCGTGGAATGACCCACTGGGTGATGAGGAGCACCCTTTCCCGTGCAGTGGCAGCAGGGGCTGTGTCCTTTCGTACTGGAGGATGTTGGGGATGGGAAAGCAGTCAGGATCTGAGGAGGGGCTGAAGTCAAGGGCTCAGTGTGGGTCACACCCAGTTTCTGGCCTGGGAACAGCGAGTCTCACCTTCCTTTCACTGGCTCTTCATGGCCTCCACTCAGGACAAACGTGCTGGACACCACAGACAGAGCTTTCCTGAAGTCCTGTAAATTTGGCCCCAAGGACCCCTACTGCCCCATCTTCCGACTTGGGTCTGTGGTCAGCTGGACGGGGAGCAGCTTCCAGGAGATAGCTGTGCAGGTGGGTGGTGGGGCTGGCCGGCTCTGGGCTTGAGCTCTGCAGTGAGGAGGGGGTGTGGAGGAGGACCCATGCGATGGGGTGGCCCTACAGTCACCTGCCCATGGACTGTCTCAGAATTAGCTGTGCTGCACTCGGTGAGGGCCACATTCGCACCTGCGTCTGGCTCTGAGTCCTGGGGCATCAGCCGAAACCGAGCCAGGAGCCCCAGTGGCACCCTGGCTGTGGCGTGAGGTGCCAGTCCTGCAGTAGGTGCTCGCTCGGGTCATTCCCTTCTCCCTGGAGCGTGAAGCAGGAGGATATGGGCTGTCAGCGACGCAGTTTTCTCAGTCACCCCAGAGGTGTGAACCCTGGGCTGCCTTCCCTCCCGGAAGGATGCTCCAGTGGGGCCAACCCCCTGCCTGAGCTCTGCACAAAGAGCTGGTCTGTGACTTGTATCTCCAGAAAGTTCTGTGCACCGATTCTCCTCTCTTTTGCATCAAGGGTGGTGTGATAGGAATTCAGATTGAATGGGACTGTGATCTTGATAGAGCTCCCTCTGAATGTTACCCTCGCTATTATTTTAACCGTCTGGACAAGAGATTTTCAGAAAACTCTCTTTCTTCTGGGTACAACTTCAGGTAACTGGGGCTAAGTCTGCCACCTTATGACCCTGTCCACGTTTCGTGTCCTTGTCTGGGTGCCAGCGACACCCCTTCCTGGGGGTCGGTGTCAGAGTGGGAGGTGCAGGGAGGCTGCCAGGGGGCCTCTGGGAGAGAAGCATCGGCCATGGCTCTAGACTTGCCCTGAAGCTGAGGCCTGGGTCAGTCCCATCAGTGCCTTGGTGGCCCGGGTTGGCCCAGCAGTCGTGGGAAAACCCTTGCCTCTTGGGGAGCGTCTGGCAAAAACTTCAAAGATCTGAACGAATCTTTTATGTCACGTCAGCAAGGGGGTCTCCAACCTTTCCTGGGGCTGCTGAATGCCAGGGTCCTGGGGGTGGGGTGGGGGTTTATAAATCTCCAAGGTAGTGGAGCCTGTGTTGCCAAACAGGGAAGACCCAGGTAGGCCGAGGGCTCCCCGAGCCGTGTCTCCCCCAGGTTTGCCAAGTATTACCGAGATGCAGCTGGGGTGGAGCTCCGCACGCTGTTTAAAGCCTACGGGATCCGCTTTGATGTGATGGTGAACGGCAAGGTGTGTGGGTGAGGCTCCCCTTCTGAAGTTGGGCAGGTCCTGGGAGGGTAGGGCATGCTGGGGGGACACCAGGTTGGCTCTGGGGGAGTCCCTGGGGATCCCGCTGTCCTGCTGCCTTCCTCACCCCACCTTGTCTCTCTGTGCTCCAGGCAGGGAAGTTCAACATCATCCCCACAGTCATCAACGTGGGCTCAGGGGTGGCGCTCATGGGTGTGGTGAGTACCTCTCCCCCACCCCCTTTACCCTCCGAGCACCCGCGGGGGCGGGCAGCGGGGACACTGCCCCAGGGTAGTTGTCCCAGTGCTCCAGAAAGAACCAGAACTGGGGAGGTCAGTGCGGATGAGGGTGAAGCGGGCTCTCTGGGACTTCACATCCCTCCAGCAGCCCCCAGGTGGCCATGACTACCTGGGTTTCTCTTTCCACAGCCAGAGAGGCTTCTGCCTGTGGCTCTGCAGG